ACGAGCTCTTCAACAACAGCGATATTCTCCACTGCCAAGGGGAACTGTTTCAGATCAAGATAGCGCTTAAAAAACTCGCGATACCCAGTGAAATATGGAGCTACAAGCTCATTGAGGTTGGCCACAGCGGCCGCCATCTCTGCCTTGTCTGTTACACAACAAATCCCGTAACCTGATTCCAGAAAAGGTGCTTTTAGAATGCAAGGATAGCGCATTTTGTCCTTCCATTCGCTGGACGGTTTATCCATGTTGATGTAATCAAACCAAAGTTTTCCATTTTCCGTCTTTCTCGAGTAATACTTGTGAAGACAAAGGAAAATGGACTCCAAGCTAGGACCTGGCAGACCAGTCTGTTCACATACCACAGATGCGACTACAGAAGCCATATCGTGACTGAATATAATGGCTGTTATTTCGTGATCTTTCACGTAACGAACAGCTCTTTCAACGTAGGATATCAAGAACTCAGGCTTCGTCAAGTAACTGCCGAACGATAACGACGCATATTTTTCTGTATCAATAACATCTTCCAAAGCGTATAAAAAGTGAACCTCGTACTCATTGGAATCAAGTAGAGCTGCTTCAACATGATCATATGATGTAGGAAGAAGATTGAGAATTCTGTGCATTTTGAAACGCTTGAACGCTGATCAAATTTCTTCTTCTTTATTTTTTTAATTAGTTTAGCTTTAGATCACTAGCCTGTGGTCTAAATTCAATCGCGATTTTGCTATTGATATTAGGAAGTTTACAACCTCACGGACACGCTTGAAAAACAAAGAGGGCGTTTGAATTTACAACTTAAGCACCGTGACCTTCAACGTGTCCTTATTAAGGCCTAAACGTTGCATTTTGGTCCCGTCGAACGCAATTCAAGCTTTCGACGCAACCAAAGTTATATGTCTAATTTGAATTTGAAAGGCATCACCTTTTTTTATATTCACCCTGTATTGTATTTCATACCAACACGAGTTTGTAGATATGGAAATATTTGAGACCAAAGTGCCATTAGTGCTGTCAAGAAAACAAGGAAAGCAAAGAACCAGTGATAACCGGATAACCGGTAAAACTAGTAACTAATCATCCATAAATATCAATGTTCGATATCGAAATAAAGATTATGGATAAGATTTCCTTTGAACTTCATCTTGAGAAACGCTAGAAACAAAGTATAAATCTAACAAGATACAGGTTGAGACTTTAAATTTTCGACTTTATCTCAAAGTCATCTTAAGTCAGAATGAAATACAATACTTCAAAACGCAAATATATACAACACATAGAAAAAGCGCAAAAATAAAACTGTAGAATAGATATAATAGAAAGGTTTTTTATGTTTGATTAGGAGCGTTTAAGGAAAGGCGAGAATATGACACTGAATATCTCACCTCAATTATGCATACCGGTTGTCTTAGGCACTTGTTTGTGTGATACCTTCGTCAAATGATGTAGGAAGAAGATTGAGAATTCTGTGCATTTTGAAACGCTTGAACGCTGATCAAATTTCTTCTTCTTTATTTCTTAATTAGTGTTTGATTAGGAGCGTTTAAGGAAAGGCGAGAATATGACACTGAATATCTCACCTCAATTATGCATACCGGTTGTCTTAGGCACTTGTTTGTGTGATACCTTCGTCATATTACAAGCACACATGCCGCACTTCGGCGTGCGACTAGACTGCAGATGAATGTTCATTTATATTACTTTTCGTCCTTTTTACTTTTTGCCGAGTTTGAGGTCGAGCACAGTCTGCCTAGCTTTGACTACGATAAGATTCAAGCTGTTTAATCTAATTTACTGTTCAGACTAGAAATGTTCTCCATAATCTTTATTTCGATATCGAACATTGATATTTATCAAAAATCAGTTACTAGTGTTACCGGTTATCCGGCTATCCGTTACCCGTGTTTTCTACCCAGTTTAATTTCTAACGGTCTTCTTTTTTTATACACCCTGTATATTCCATTGTTAAATCAACAAATTTGAATCTGCCAACGTCAACGACAACGATAATTACAAATATGCATTGAAAGTCGAACAAAGAATCTTTGATTGTGTCTATGGCCACTTCCATTAAAAACAGCCAAAATGGTCAGACCGGTCATATTTTGAATCTGGATTGAGTATTTCTTTAGAAATATAACGGTGAAACGACATTAACTCTGTTTCAAGAATGCAGAGTTCTTGAAACACTAAAAAATACCAGCAATTCCTGCCTTACCAGTGGCAGATCTAGGGGTAGTCAGAATATATTACACAGCTAAATTTAAATTCAAAACATATTTTTAAATAAACTGAATCTACCAATGCGATTGCGATTTTCAGCTGTAGTAATTTATTCTGACTACCCCTAGATCAGCCACTGTGCCGCACTGAAACACAACAGGACCGGTCTGGCCGTTTTACCGTATAAAGGAAAGCGCCCTATGCTACCGTCTTCGCTTTGTTTGTAAGATTACTAAGAGTACCCTTAAGCATCGACCTATATTTACCAGTCCATAATTTGAAACGTGAAGGCTGTGTTGATTGTGTTTGACCGTTTTAGTTGAGTTTATTATGTCGCTAACCGGAAGTTCATGCTGCCTGGCTGGTCAACAAGGAGGAGTTTCGTTTAAACTTTTAGTACCCCAATCAAAACGTATCTATTTCGTTTTAGACCAATCAGCAAATTTGTTTACACTTTTAGTACCCCATACAATCAGAACCTATAAATCTAGATGTATAAACATTTTCTACTTCCGGTAAAAAGATACAATTTTTACTACTTTTCATGGGGTATAAAATAGTTAGGGCATCCTGCTTGGCCTGAAAAATGTGAACTAATTTGCTAAAAATTTATTTTGACCGCAACAAGATACTAATAAAAATAGCTGAGAAGTTGATACAATGAATAATTCCGTTAACAATTGTTGAGTTGCAGGTACAAATTTTTATAACTATCAAAGTTTCTTCATTAAGTGCTTGCACTCGTTACCAGGTAACTTCAGAAGGTCGCGATCTTCACGCAGGAGGAGTTTTGTTTTAACCTCGTTTGCGCGCTGAAAGAGACTGGACGGACTGGCTTCCGTGAGAAAAAAATTGCACAACCGCACCCGGCCTGCGGTCGATGTCTGCCTCACTGGTGTTTCTTCATTCACGGATATCAACATACCTGGTCCCGACGTTATGTAAGCCCCGTCAGAGATGCATCCCCGTCTGGCGTAGTCGAGAAAGTCTTTTCCTTTACCTTCGCCGCTGGTGGAGACGAAAAACTGGCCCGAAATCGGTTCGCCATCTTTGTAGCAGGCGGATGTTTTACACTTGGCTAGTTTCTCTGTTTCGCCGCAAGCGAGGAAGACCGCTGCATGGTGCCCGCTGATGTTCCACATCTTCCTGTGGGCCGCCGAGAACGCATGGGCTATACGACCATTTACTTCGATCAATGTGATTTCGTCTCCACGATGCCAGAACTCGATATTGATGAACGTGTTTGTGAGACCAAAACGCTGGACCATCTTTACCGTGTAATCGTATAGCTTCTTATATGTTTCCCCGTCAGCTGCGCCTGAAATGAACTGTGGGTAAATAAAGTGAAGTAGCCCTCCCGCCCTGCCAGGAGAAAGTTCACAAGAGCCTAACGTGAATGCTCTAAATATGCCATTGTTATCACACCAGCCATCAAAGCAGTATTGGTCAATCATATCTACGAGCTCTTCCACAACAGCGATATTCTCCACTGCCAACGGAAACTTTTCCAGATCAAGATAGCGCTTAAAAAAATTGCGATACCCAGTGAAATATGGAGCTACAAGCTCATTGAGTTTGGCCACAGCGGCCTCCATTTCTGCGTTATCAGTGACACGACAAATCCCGTAACATGATTCGAGAAAAGGTGCTTTTAGAATGCAAGGATAGCGCATTTTATCCTTCCATTCGCTGGACGGTTTATCCATGTTGATGTAATCGAACCAAAGTTTCCCATTTTCCGTCTTTCTCGAGTAATACTTGTGAAGACACAGGAAATTCGACTCCAAGGTAGGACCTGGCAGACCAGTCTGTTCACATACCACAGATGCGACCATAGACGCCATATCGTGGCTAAACATAATGGCTGTTATTTCGTGATCTTTCACGTAACGAACTGCTCTTTCGACGTAAGATATCAAGAACTCAGGCTTCCCCAAGTAACTGGCGAACGATAACGACGCATAATTTCCTGTATCAATAACATCTTCCAAAGGGTATAAAAAGTGAATCTCATACTCATTGGAATCAAGTAGAGCTGCTTCAGCATGGTCATTTGATGTAGGAAGAAGATTAAGAATTTTGTGCATTTTGAAACACTCGAACGCTGATCAAATTTATTCTTCTTTATTTTTTTAATTAGTTTAGCTTTCGATCACTAGCTTGTGGTCTAAATCCAATCGAGACTTCGATATTGGTAGTTTACGGCAACCTCACGGACACGCTTGAAAAACAAAGAGGGTGTCTAAATTTACAACTCAAGCACCGTGACCTCCGACATGTCCTTATTTGGCCTGAACGCCACATTTTTGTCGCGTCGACGCAACCAATATTATATGCCTGATTTGAATTTGAAAGGCATCACCTTTTTTTTACTCACCCTGTATTGTATTTCATACCAGAGTTGGTAGATATGGAAATATTTCAGACCACTAGTGCTGTCAAGAAAACAAGGAAAGCAAAGAACCAGTGTTGCCAGATTACTGAGAAATTAGCCAAATATTATGACCACAATCGTTGCTTTCTTTGTTTCAAAGGGCCGACTACAACAGAAATCTGGCAACCCTGCAAAGAACTGAGTGCTGATGTTGTTTGGCCTCAAATATATATGCAGCTATTCCCCAACCCTGTTTCATACGTCCAGCAAAATATGTGTGAACAGACCTTTGTGCTTCACGGAATTGTCCGCTTGTAAAGGTTTTTAAAACTGATTTAATTAGCTGCATGCATATCTATCAAAATGCTAATCTCCTTAACAATAACCATTTTCAATCACACAAACATTTTGCTATGGCAACCATCAAAATGTTGTAAAATACAACAGGGTTAGTTTACCTACAAATTATTACTGCACAAAATATCATGGTTTTTGGCGCAAAAGCGGTGGTAAATACAGAAAACTTCGTTGGTCATGATCAAATCTGGTAAGATAATTATATGTCGACAAAGAAGACGCCATATATTCGGTACTATGCATAGATAGGTAGTAGATCAGGAATTCGAGTCCGTATTTTTGTATATACAAGTTCTACTCAGCTATTCGATTCTACAGGCAAACCAAAACACAACCATAATATGTCATTGTATCTTTTATCCTAATTGCATGCACTAGGTTGCGAAATCGCCTGAGTATACTGACAATTTAAAACTGGCTATATATACCCTTCGACAACTACATTTTAAGCAGACATAAACTTAATTCGCCTAGCAACCTTTAATTGTTTGTTGGAATATTCATCTACTCGTTTTAAAGTCGTTTTAAATCAAGCGAATTTGAGCGGCGATCAAGCGAGCTAAGAACTTGTATAAGTTAACACGCAAGACGTGCAGGTATTTGCCGCAAATTGGCCATGGACAAGCGCAATGTTGACTTGTGTTTCTTTGTTTATCTGAAGGAAAGATCATGTCACAAACGAAGCGACAGCGGCCAAGCAATGGCCGGTTCATTGGGGATTTTTGATCAGTCAGTACAAAAAGGTATGCGCCGAACTGATAGCTTTCGTCTCCGTCTTGAATTATATATAAATATTAAATTTATTCATTAATACGGCCTTATTAACACGACATCGAATATTGGACTTGTTCAGTTGTCCAAAAATATCATGGCATGTTTGCTTTAACATGATCTGGCAAATGAAAACGTTCTCCATGGGGACAGAGGTAGCGTCCCGTAAAACAACTTAAACTGAAGTATTGGCCATGTTAATCTCGGTGTAGAGAGGATCTATATAAAGTCGCGCGTGGGAATCTGTGAAAGTATTCATTGTAGGAGGCGTTCATTGTGACATTGGCGTGCGCAAAGGGAAAGGATACGTATATCATATATCAGACAGAGTTCATTTCTGTTCACACCTGATATATATGAATATGAATGTCAAATGTCAAATATAACACGATTTCGAAAACCGAAATCATAGAAACAAAGACATGTCCTTGAAGTATGAAGTATTTGTTCTGTGCAAGATTGTGTGTGAATAGATAAACATTTGCATTTGACCCTATCAAAACGTCGCTTGCTTTTTGCGCCCTGACTTCCCCGACGGTTGGTAATATTTGTATGAATTTATATTAATCTATCTGGCAAGTATAGCCTAAGGAATTAGTGCCGTATGCGGTTTGTGTCTGCATGTTTGCGTATGTGCAAACGTTTACAATTATCATGCGATTTCCTCTTTAAGAAGGAAGCCGTGCACTAAATCGTAATCTTCAAACCCCGAAGATGGACCAAGCCTCAGTGCATGTTTACGCTACATAATTATATCGAGTGTGGATTTAGGCTTTTAATCCAGGCTTGGGTTTGTAGTGTAAACACGGCTTTTAATTGATTTTATTAGGGCCTGCTTACATGGAGCGAGTTATCCCGGCTTAGGCGAGGTGAAAACTGCATACAATGAATTAATCAGGTTAAGCTTTTGATGTGATGCGCTTTTTACCTCGCCTAGCTGGGATAACTCGCTCCATGTAATGATGTAAACAGGCCCTTAGCTGAATGTTTTGAATGTGTCTCAGTCTGAACATTCAAATTAAACTTTATCTGATATTCTCACTTCGCACTCAAATTTCAAGTGCATTTCAAGCTCTTTTGCAAAAGGGGTTTTACTATTAACAACATATTTCCGATCGATAGTTATGTAACGAAGATGACGGCGTACCTCAAGGAGCGGCTTCCGTTCGCGTCAAGGAAAGGCGAGAGAAATTGAAACTTCCTCCAATCGACAACGTGAAACAGCTTGGTGTGGGCGCCTCGACCAGATCATTTCCAAAAACCAGCAGCGGTGAGATAGGTTGGCGATCAACACAGCCTCAATGCAGACTGGAAAGATACGGCCGTTATACGAAACCAGTTCAAGGAGTGTTGAAGTCTCTCAACTGGCCTCCTGAATCTGTTGACTGAAGCAAAATATTGATGTATGAAATTAGTTTACTTGAATCACAGTCGATGGAGGACGTGGTTTGAAGACAATACAACTCCTTAAGCTTCCATAGTTTCCATTTAATCGTAATTGTCGCGAACAAGCCATTTTCACCGATGAGAAATAGTTCGGATGTAAATTTGGTGTTTATTTCTATATTTGAATTGGTCATTGCTGAGTGCACACATCAGTGGCACACACAGAGATTTATTCTATCACATCAGCTAGCTTGACATGTTCACGACCAGGACTAAATGGGAAATGGAAAAATCTGCTCATGCGGGCGCGACGGGCCTCAAAAACAAAACCGCCTTTATGCATGCACCTAGACCTCAACAAAAAGCATTCTTAGTTAGAGTACGATATAAATAATCACACCATCGTAGGTCACATCAGAGTCATTGAACCTAACTGGTAGCGCTCAGGTCCCGGTTGTTCAAAAGCCGGTTAGCTTAACCCTGGATTAAGGCAAATCACAGTTATTAGAATATACATGGTTTGGAGACTAGATGGAAGTACAATACAACTCATTATCTATGTTATTGTCCAGGTTTATGCAAAAAATGGTTCCTTATCCGTCACATGTCTATTGTATTTTAGTCCAACTAACCAATAGCAATGGCTTGCCTTTGCTCCTCAACCGTGACTTGAACAACATGTTAATTCCGACCTTACTATTGGTTTATTTGTTCAAAGTACAATAGACACGTGACGAATAAGGGACAACTTTTTGCATAAATGTTCCCCGACATAGATAATGAGTTCTATTGTACTTTTATGTAGTCTCCAAACCATGTATATTCTATTAACTGTGGGCAAATCTTTACCTTAATTTTTTAACCTCTTGCTTGCATAGTTCAGTCATAATCAATTTTTCGTAAATAACTTCAGGACGGATAAAAGTCATATTTTCTAAACGCTTTACAACAAACAGTGGTTCAAAAGCACATAAACTAAAACTCTTGAATATTATTTAATCCTGGGTTAGCGCAACCTAGCTTTGAGCAACTGGCCCCAGAAGGGTGATTCTTTCAGAAATCCATTCTTAGTATTCAATCGATTATATCTTTTGTTATTCTGGATGTAACTTGTGATAATGTTTATCTGTAAGAACTACAGCTTGCCGGGATATATTTTGAGAGATTATAAGTTGTTTCAACTGAGAAATAAGATTTTTTGTCAACTAGTCCCAGTCCTTTCCCACCATTTCAAATCACTTGGAAGAGAGTCTCAGGGAAAAAAATGACACTGGAATAGAACCTTTTTTGTATTCAATTTTGGTAATGATTAATAGCGTTGACATTAAAAAACGTTCTTGAAAGCAGCTATATTTTTTTGAATGCTTTTGTCGATCGTGTTTTACAACGACCAAATACTACTCAAAACTATGACCACTACATATTATAAAGAATAAAAAACCTCCTCTTAATCATGTATGATTATCACCATAGAAATAACAGACATAGCACGCGTGCTTCTGTACCCCCAGTTAACGAATACGACATCAGCTATTGAAAATGGCCGATTCAGTACAAGGGCAAATTCCGTTGACCTTTTCTCGTAAGATGCTCCGAATGTTAACGTAGTTATTTTAGCAAATTTGGAAGTTGGTGGAACGAATAATCCCTTTACTAAATAAGTGAAAATTTTTAATGAACTTGCCCGCTCCTAGGAGAAATCAAAGATGGCCGATTTATAAGGGCATTTTGATTTCATTTTGGACACCGGTCACATGACCAAGCACGCATTCTTCGTCTACCATTTCTATGATTGTTACACTATCTTTTGATTATATATGATGCTAGGAAAATCACCTAAATTTAACCAAAATTAGGCCCCAATCAACAGTAGCCAAATATCTTCTCATGTTCAACAGGGGACGATTGTTCGAAAGGCGACGGCCGGTTCAAAAATGGAGAATTAAATTATCTATTTTTGAATGATGTGTATTTTTTTATTAAATGTTTATGTAAATAGTTGAATTTTCAATAGAAGTTTATATCTAAACCATAAGATGTAGGTTCAGTCATTCACAGATCTATGAGAGAATTTAAACTTTGGCTTATGCAGCGTTTAAGCTAAACGCCTTCGAACAACCGGCCCTGTCAACACAAGTTGTTAAACACAAGTCCAACGTCCTGCCTACTAGAGAAGTTCAAGGTAACTTCAGAAGGTCACGATCTTCTTCACGCAGGAGAAGTTTTGTTTTTACCTCGTTTGCGCGCTGAAAGAGACTGAACGGACTGTTCTCAGTGAGAAGGAAATCGCACAACCGCACCCCGACGGTCGATGTCTGCCTCACTGGTGTTTCCTCTTCCACGGATATAGTTATAGCTGGTCCCATCGTGTTGTAAACCCCGTCAGAGATGCATCCCTGTCTGGCGTAGTCGTAGTCGAGAAAGTCCTTTCCCTGACCTTCGCCGCTGGTGAAGATGAAAAACTGGCCCGAAATCGGTTCCCCATCTTTGTAAACGATGGATGTTTTACACTTGGCTAGTTTCTCTGTTTGACCGCAAGCAAGGAACACCGCTGCATGGTGCGCGCTGATGTTCCACATCTTCCTGTAAGCCGCTGAGTAGGTATAAGCCATTCGACAATTCATTTCGATCAAAGTCATTTCGTCTCCTTGCAGCCAGAACTCGATATCGAAGAATGTGTTTGTGAGACCAAAACGCTGGGCCATCTTTACCGTGTAATCGAATAGTTTCTTATATGTTTCCCCGTCAGCTGAGCCTGAAATGAACTGCGGTATAACCCAGTGTTGAAGCCTTCCAGCCTTTCAGGTGAAATTTGACAAAAGCCTGAAGTGATCATTGTAAATTTGCCACTGTTATCCAGCCAGCCTTCGAAGCAGTATTGGTCGCGCATATCGACCAGCTCTTCCACAACAGCGATATTCTCCACTGCCAACGGAAACTTTTCCAGATCAAGATAGCGCCTAAAAAACTCGCGATACCCAGTGAAATATGGAGCTACCAGCTCATTGAGGTTGGCCAAAGCGGTCTCCATTTCTGCTTCATTTTTAACATAACAATGCCCAGCACTTGACGCGAGAAAAGGTGCTTTTAGAAAGCAAGGATAGCGCATTTTATCCTTCCATTCGCTGGACGGTTTATCCATGTTGATGTAATCAAACCAAAGTTTCCCATTTTCCGTCTTTCTCGAGTAATACTTGTGAAGACAGAGGAAAGTGGACTCCAAACTAGGACCTGGCAGACCAGTCTGTTCACATACCACAGATGCAACAACAGACGCCATATCGTGACTGAATATAATGGCTGTTATTTCGTTATCTTTCACGTAACGAACAGCTCTTTCGATGTAGGATATCAAGAACTCAGGCTTTGCCAAGTAACTACCGTAGGCTAAAGATGCCATTTCTTTGTCAATAACATCTTCCAAGGCGTATAAAAAGTGAATCTTGTACTCATTTGGGTCAAGTAGAGCTGTTTCAGCATGATCGAATGCAATGGGAAGAAGATTCAGAATTTTGTGCATTTTGGAATGCTCTCTTTCGATCGAAGCGCTCTTTAGTCGATGAATGGAAGTTCCGAAATATCTGCACCACTTGATATGGCTGTCTCTTATTTCTCATTACACACACAACCTTGCACTATAGTATTTGAGATATGCGAACAAACGAGCCATTCTGGCATGATATTCCCAGGGGGTTTCGAAAACGGAAATCATAGAGACAAAGACATGTTTTTGAAGTATTTGTTCTGTGCATGATTGTGTGTGAATCGATAAACATATTTACAAAACATCCTATCAAAACTTCGGTTGCTTTTTGCGCCCAATTATTGCTCTGACCAATAGAAAACAACCTTGTTCAAGCTGCTACACTACAGGATCCGGTTGTTCGAAAGGGGTTTAGCTTAAACGGCGCTTTTTATTGGACAAATGAGCTGAAATATTTCGATGTAAATAGTTTAATTTTCAATGGAAGTACATATTTAATGCATAAAATGTAGGTTGAGTCATTCACAAGATGTATGAGAGTATTCTTAAATGTTGGCTTCTCCACCGTTGAAGCTAAACGCCTTTCGAACAACCGTCCCCAGGAATAGATGGCAAGCAGCCAAAGGGATTAGTGCCATATGCGGTTTGTGTCTACCTGTTTGTGTATGTGCAAACGTTTACAATTATCATGCGATTTCCTCTTTAAGCGTCGCACTAAATCGTAATCTTCAAACCCCGAAGATGGACCAAGCCTCAGTGCATGTTTACGCTACAAATATCGAGTGTGGATTTAGGCCTTTAGTCCAGGCTCGGGTTTGTAGTGTAAACACGGCTTTTGATTGATTTTTTTAGGGCCTGCTCACATGGAGCGAGTTATCCCGGCTTAGGCAAGGTAAGCCTTTGATGTGATGCGCTTTTTACCTCGCTTAGCCGGGATAACTCGCTTCATGTAAACAGGCCCTTAGTTGAATGTTCTGAATGTGCCTCTGATATTCTCACTTCGCACTCAAATTTCAAGTGCATTTCAAGCTCTTTTGCAAAAGGGGTTTTACTATTAACAACATATTTCCGATCGATAGTTATGTAACGAAGATGACGGCGTACCTCAAGGAGCGGCTTCGGTTCGCGTCAAGGAAAGGCGAGAGAAATTGAAACTTCCTCCAATCGACAACGTGAAACAGCTTGGTGTGGGCGCCTCGACCAGACATTTCCAAAAACCAGCAGCGGTGAGATAGGTTGGCGATCAACACAGCCTCAATGCAGACTGGAAAGATACGGCCGTTATACGAAACCAGTTCAAGGAGTGTTGAAGTCTCTCAACTGGCCTCCTGAATCTGTTGACTGAAGCAAAATATTGATGTATGAAATTAGTTTACTTGAATCACAGTCGATGGAGGACGTGGTTTGAAGACAATACAACTCCTTAAGCTTCCATAGTTTCCATTTAATCGTAATTGTCGCGAACAAGCCATTTTCACCGATGAGAAATAGTTCGGATGTAAATTTGGTGTTTATTTCTATATTTGAATTGGTCATTGCTGAGTGCACACATCAGTGGCACACACAGAGATTTATTCTATCACATCAGCTAGCTTGACATGTTCACGACTCAGGACTAAATGGGAAATGGAAAAATCTGCTCATGCGGGCGCGACGGGCCTCAAAAACAAAACCGCCTTTATGCATGCACCTAGACCTCAACAAAAAGCATTCTTAGTTAGAGTACGATATAAATAATCACACCATCGTAGGTCACATCAGAGTCATTGAACCTAAC